CATCCGAGGGATGCCTGCCAGGGCTAGCAGGATTTGTCCTGTAAGACCATCCCGCGGGATGGACAGGGGGCTCCAATAGCCGTTGCATCCCAGATGGGCCAAGGGATGCCCCGATTCTTTGCTGGGCCATCGCAGGATGCTGCATGCATATGGTAATGGAATTCGCTGAAAAATTATAAAAGGTTTTGCAAAATTTTCAATAAGTGAGCAAATGCGATAATTTTCCTCAAGTTTCTTGAGGAAAATACGCACATAAATGTACATTAAACACAGTAATCAAAAAAGGCCACACGTTGGTGATTTAATTGAACCCCTTGCATCATGTTGGGGAACCAGAACTCAGGCCTAGGGACATATTAGGTCCCAGGACCTGAATTCTGGTCCCGTTTTCCTTTGTGCATCCATTCCCGGGATGCAGGACATCTTCAATGCACATTTGTTCCGCCAATCACGGGCAAAGAAAAAAGTCCAGTGCTTTGGTCAGGTCAGCTGACAGAAGCATTGTGCTAAATTGCACAAAACCCCAGCACTCTTCCACTCCCAATAATCAGTCCTTAAAATTAGCTCTCACAGTAAACATCCTCCAAATATTCCAACCCCAATTCTTCTGATTGAATTGTTGCATTGCATTATTGCAGCCTAAATTTGTGTGCAAAAATTTATTGTTTTTATGGGATGTGTTCTGCATTACTTCATTTATTGTGATGTGTTATTTATTGTATTGTGTTTGATTGTGATTTATTGTGGACTGTGATTGAACCCAATAAAACTATAGGGATATGTAATTAAGGTACCCCCTTAATTACATATTCCTGGCTGCAAACCGGCTAATTGCCCTGCCTTATTATTTCCCACCTTTTCTTCCACTGCGCCATATGGTTCAATTTTTTATATTGGGTCGATTAATTCCTCAACACATCACTCACTCAACCACCATATACCAGCATATTTTGCCAGCTGACTTGCAAGGTTTCATGATTAGTAACCATGCAGACAAACAGCAAGAAGGACAAAAATCGATGTACAATTACAGTAGATGTATAGTTTCTGCGGATGTATATAATACGCCGCAGAAACTATTGTATGCAACCATCGCAAAAGAATGAAAACTATATAGGGGGGATAACATTTTCAGGAACTTAACACATATGGTCGTTATTGCACGGATCCAGCTACAGTATAAAAAAGCATATCATCTGTTACCTACACCGAAAATAGGGCTGCCAAGTGGATATGAGGGTAAAACACAATCACCTGCAATTGGAAGTATCACTTCTTTTCCCAACTCCAGTCTATGCAACATTCTACCTGCCAAAATACTGCACATAAATACTGTACTGTATTATACGTTTACAAAAATAATAATCCATTATGAGCAACGTTTGTTATTAACAAAAGCGCATTTTCCTTCAAGAAAGTACAGAAATAATTTTGATTGGTTCCAAAACATAGAAAATGCCCATGAAAATTTTGAAAATGTGTCCTCAGAAATGTCTACTCTGGGGACTGGGCCTAGATTTCAATAACTTTGTTTGATAAAATAAAAGGTAAACTCATTGACAGACAAAAGCCCTTCAAATTTGTCAATTTCAAAAGATTTCAGAGTTGGACATCTGGAAAAATTCTCACATTTTTGAAATTGTAAAAAAAAATGTTTTCTGGCTGACATGAAACCTTTTCAAACAATCAGAGTTTTGAAATTAAAAGATTATTCATACCTGTTCAATGCAGAATTTCAGATTGAAACACTTTCAATCAATGCATCAACAACATAAATGTTTTGGGCAGGAAATTGCAGGCTTTTGCCTACAATCTTTGACCAATTCACCTGTTGACTAACCAAAGTTTGTAAAATAAAATCAGGGTTTGTTAGCCACAACAGCTGTAAACCGAAAAGTTTGTAAGCCAGGGTGTTTGTTAACCAAAGCCCCACTGTATACAGGATCCTCAAAGAATCATGTTTGTTTCATCCTATATACTCTGTCATTTCCAGTGAAAACTTTGGAACAATATTTTAAATTATTTTTGACTTCGTTACATTTCATTAAGCAGCAGTGCAGCACTCAGCAGAAATGAAGAAACCTTGGCCTCAGTAACTGTCCGTGAGAAAAAAACTGGGAAATTAGAAACGAACCCCATGCCATAGCATGATAGCAACCATCAAAAAGTTTCCAGTTTTTCAAAGGATGATGGATCCAAACATTTTGAATTTTCACTAATTATGGAAAAGAGTCTCCACTTTCATGTACCTTACAACAGTAATCAACATTTCGCACTGTATATAATCAACGCATGCAAGAGAAACCAATTTTTGAAACATGAAAAATTAAAAATTTATTCATGCAACAATTTGAGGAAGTATGTCGGCAACTGGTCAAACAATGCTTTCGATCATAACTTCATAAGATATGATGATGAAGGTCACTGCTCTACGAGTACAATCCCGGGAAAATTTTTGAACCGCAACCAGCAACATTTCGACAACATCTTAATCAATGTATGCAAGAGAAACCAATCTTTGTAACATGAAAAAACTTGAGAATACATTCAGGTTTAAATTTGAGATAGTATGTCGTCAACTGGCCAAACAATCCTTTCGATCCAAGAGAGATGATAGTAAACGTCACTGTACAATCCCGGGAAAATTCTAGAGCCGCAACCAACGCCCTTGCTGACAATTCCTACGATATCATACGTGCAGGTGTCTTCGTCCAACATGTTCATTGGACCTCCTGAATCTCCCTGAAGGAGCAAATGATGGGAAGTGTCAAGCAAAAAACCCATCACACATACACAGAAATATTCTCACCTGACAAGCATCACTTCCACCTTCTTGGTCCAAAGCGCAGATGACACCATGACCTGCTCCTTTTTTATAGTTCCGCTGCAGCAAATTATTGTTTCGGATTATATCGGAACACTCGGTATCGTTCAATAAAGGAACCGAAGTTTTCAACAATGTTCTGCTCTTGTGGCCATCTGCAACAAATAAAATTTAGTTTTTAAATTTTTGAATACCGCAGTGAATAAATGAATAGCCTAGAGCAGAGTTCCACAGTTTGTGGTCCGCGGACCAGCACCGGTCCGCAGAAGTTTTTTGCCGGTTCGCGGAAAATTTTCTTCAACATGATAAAAGTTGCAACAAAGGACGTTACAGTATCTATATAATGACATTTCAGAAAGACAAACGCAATTTAAATTATCTCACAAAAAATAAAATAAATACAAGTTGGCATTTCTCCTAATAACACTTCAGACAAATTTAAGCCGGATGAAATGAATAATTTCAATTTTTCATTCTGAGAATAGTGAGAAAACTTCCTCCAAGCTCAACTTCATAACTTCTGAACATCTTTGAAGAAATTGCATTACATAGCTCCTTCTTTGGTTCTTGCCTTATTTTTTCAAAAAAGCAGGAAGTTTTTAAATAACTTTCCAAAAGTCTTTAAAGAAAAACTTTTTTGAGTTTGCAGAAATATTATGAAACTTTGCCAGTCCATAGAAATTTTTGTTGTTGAAAATTTGCTGGTCTGCAAAAAAAATTATGGAAATTTGCCAGTCTGTGGGACCAAAAAGGTTGGGGTACACTGGCCTAGAGGATCAAGAGTAATACAGTGGAGCCTCGGTTGAAAAAACTCAATTGGTTCCAGACAAACGTTTTTCAACCACATTTTTTAACTGAATTTTATTTTCCCACAGACTTCAATGGGGAAGCATTTGATCCATTCCGTGGACGCAAAAGAAAATTTAACATTGAATATAAAAAATCCAAGACCTTCAACTATGCTCAGGTTAAGTTGTTGTTGAATATTGTATGTGTCCAGAATGTTTTCACAGCATTGTCTTGAAGTAGCACAGATGAAAACAAACATTAAAAGCTTCTTATCCAGAGAAACACACACTGAAGGATAAAAGTCAGGTGAAAATGACATTTTTTTAATGCTGCAAGTAAAGATGAAGTAGACCTTTCTAGCAATTTTACAACTAGGACAACCAAGCACAGAAAAGCAAATAATTCTGTCCCAGAAAAGCACATGAATAATGTAGCTAGAACAAATTTTCAACCACAAGATTAGCCATGTTAAATTACCATGGGGAAAGAATTTCCACATCAGTACATAGGTGAATTATTTGCACATAGATTGTACCATAAATCTCAGCCTCAAAATCAAATTTTGAATTCTAAAATTTGGGAATTTTCACCAGAAACAAGTTCGTTGACCAAATTTTTGTTCGTCAACTCAAGAGATTTTTTCTGGAAACCAGAAGTTTTTTACCTGAAAAGTTTGTGAACCTAAGGATATAGGGAACACCCTTTTTCAGAGGAGCTCTGAGAATGCATGTGTCACATAATCGTCGTAAAGGACCAAAAAATCAAACCATCTGGAAACCAGAAGTTTTTTACCTGAAAAGTTTGTGAACCTAAGGATATGGGGAACACCCTTTTTCAGAGGAGCTCTGAGAATGCATGTGTCACATAATCGTCGTAAAGGACCAAAAAATCAAACCACGTACACGGAGCTGTTAATCCCCAGCCGATGATTTGAACTTCTTCAGTGATGAGGTTCGGCGGAAACTGGCTCAAGCATCCAGGAAAAACACTCGTTGAAAACTGAAGTGGACCTCCCAAATCCTCCGACAACCTTATAAGCGCCAAGTCATAGTACTTCCCGTGTTTCATCGCGAAGTACCCAGGGTGGATTTCGTATTTGGTTATGTAGAAATCCCGCGTAGCGTCGAACACATTGTGGTCCTCTTGTACGCCATCACCGATGCGGACGAAGTTCAAGTCACTGTCGTACAACATCAAAACAATACGTCATTAGTTGGTTTTCTGCGCTAACATTCTACAATAACGCAAGCCAGCCTTTTTCTAATTAAACTCGCGCTCCAAATTCATCAGTTTCCAAGAAAGCATTCTTGTATTCCCAAATAAAGTACTAGTTGTACCACACACCCTGGAGCAAAACACACACCAGGGTTTTTCAGTCTAAAATTTCGATAAAATAATATCCCCGAGCAAGACGCGCACCCCATTTTCGAGGATACTATAATAACAGAAATATTTATAAAATATGAACATCAACAATTAAATTTAGGCATGAACAAAACTTTAATTATTCGGATTTTAAATTTCCATTAAAAATCAGTTTTCAGGTTGTAATTGGTCCAAAACGTCCCATTCGAATAAAGTTTAATGTGCATCTAAACTTTGAAGCATGTATGCCCAGTTACCCACCCATGATGCACACCCACTTTTTGTTTCTCAAATTTTAGAAAAAGAAGTTGCGCGTGGTCAGTGAACACAGTACTGTAATAAAAAAAATTTGATTTAAACCTGAACAGGATAGAACCAGACAAATGTAGAGTCACCTTTGCATAGTGCCAGGAACGTCCCTGGAACAACAAACCGCCTTCAATTGCGTCCTTATATGAAAAACTGTAATTAAGTGCCAACTCAATTAATGGCAAAAAATGTCGTGTGCTTGAGGGAAAAAGCCCAAATCGAAGGAATTGAAGTTTTTCTGAGAGATACCGTTAGTTTATGGCTAAGAAGCACATGGCCCTGCTCAGGATAATTTTATAAAGTGCTTTTTCTGAATTTCCATGACATTGGGTGGCATCATTCGGATGTCTTCTACAGTGAAGAGTATCCTCCATAACTGGAATTTTCTAATTCAAAAAATTAAAATCCTTTTCCCTGATTTTGGAAGTGCATGCTTTCAGTGAAATATTGATATAAAACGTTTAAAAGCACCTCTGCTCTTTTACTTGACAAAATGTACGCAAAAATCTTATTCATCCTGCATGATTAAATGAATCAAAATACAACATAAAAATAATACACATGAGCTTGAAATTATTTCTTGTATTGTAGCTACCTTCCTTATAAACAGACTCAATAGCTCAAAAATTCTGCAAAGAAGCTTATTTTGCCTATACTGTATAGTAGATGCCCTCAATGAAACATTCCTCTCATACAATATCCCCAATTTAGCAGCACAAATTGTGCCTGGGAAGATTAGCGAATTAAATCGAGGTTGGGATGAACAAGCTCGAATTGAATACAGTAATTAGGCCTTGTGTTGGGAAAAAAAAAATGTCAGAACCCATTATGCTCACTCGATAAAACAGTGGGCAGCGGTCAGAACCCATTGCTCACTGATGAGGGAACCTCCGCACACGAAACTGAGGCCTTTCCCATCTAGGTACTTTCCCACAGCAACCTGAACACAAGACACGTGATCATGATATTGCGAAATTCACACATCATTCTATCAAAATCTGATAATTCACCATATGGGGGAATTCGTTCGGTTCCGCGGGAATGCCGTTCACGATTAAAGGCCGGAATTCGGGATTCCCTGGGCAAGTCTTGTTCGATTTGTTCGTCTGTAATGAAGTGTCTGGTGATCCTAGACCTACGCTTCGTGCACTCTCAATCCTTTCAATGTCAGATTGATTGTTTGATTCCCGCCTCTGCTTCACCAAATGCTGCTTTCGTTTCCGGTACCGTCCACACACTTACGAATAAAATTGGCACAAATAAAAATCAGTTCATATTTTCGCAATCGCAGGGTGACTGTGAGCATGAGAACCGAAGTGTGTGATGAATTTAATCGAACATAACTACCGTATTTACTCGACTACCACGCACCGGTGTTTTCCAGTCTAAAATTTTTATTAAATCCTATTCCTGAGGAAGACAAGTACCCCATTCGTAGTGTCTCCAAACTGCAATATTTCAACGATAAGAAAATCCACAAATTAATTTACACAAGGATTGAACCTGAATTCAACTAATTTTCAATTTTTTCCATTGGAATACGTTTTTCCGTCATAATCGGTTCAAAATTTCCCATTAGGATCAAATGTAATGAACATCTAAACTTTCTGAAAAATGCATACCCGCCGCGCACCCCTGTTTCCTCTTAATTTTTAATAACAAAAAACTTGAGTAAATACGGTACGAATAACACTCATATTATGAAAATTGGCTAGAAGCTTCGAATTCGATTGAACACATCCCTTCTTCAAATCTAGGAGATGAAACCTAATTTGAATCCTGTTAAAAGCGTTTGACAAGACTAATATGGTAACTGAATTACGCTAGTACAGATTGAAGGACTCATCTAATTCTAAGAATATATGCGCAATTCCATGAAAGTCGGTCTCAAATTTGCAGGCAGAATCGTTTCTATTTTTGTGGTAAAAAAGGTAAAGGCAGTTCACGTAATTCAAGAGAATAATAGTACTGTATACTGTACCTCGCTCGAAGAATCCATAAGCATCCAACATGACGTTTACTTCCGTCACACTATGCAACACACAAAATCAGACCTACTGTGCACTTACTGAACGACGACACCCGACAGCAAACATACGCTTCACCAGAGTAGAAATCGAAGTTGCACACAGTCGGCTTTTCCACGATTCGCTCAGGCAGACGTCCGGTCGCCAATTTCTGCAGCATCAACCCAGAGTGAACGAATGGGCACTGGTCCACCACAACGCATATTCCGCTATCTCCATTTCGCAGCGAACACTTGAACGCTATGCAAAAGGAAAACTTAACAAAAATCAACATCGAGGTTCTTCATTTCACAGTTTGTTAGGTAAACTCACGAAGACTGCTGCTTGCTTCAGAACCAGTGATACTGGACAAGAATACGTGAACAAATGTTGAAGGAACCAAGGGTTCAATGAGCACCATTAACGCGAGGTACACTCGTAGCGCCATGAAACCTGAAAGGAGCGAGGAAGAAAATGGTGAATTCCTGGTTTGGATTATTGGATGGTAATCAAGCCAATCGCATTTTGGAGGCGCAATGAGATCACACTGAAGTACTGCTCACCCATGACCCTTCAGACCATGATTTTGCAGTCCATCTTCTTCAAACCATTTGTCAGTTCCAGTTCAAGTGAAGTTTTCAGAGCAAATCACATGCTGAAAAATCAGCATGCGCTTTCCCTCTCGTGATCAGGTTGCGCTGCTTCACTAATTTTTTATGTTTTTGAAGAAAACATAAAATACAAGTAGAATTGACAAAACATTAATTAATTTAATATTGATGAAAAAGAATCCAAAATAAATTAAAATGAATAAATTTATTTTTATTTTTTATCATTAAATTGTTCCCATTAAAATAAGCTCAACTGTAAAACCTGGCCTAAAATGTACAAGGGTTCTAACAAAAGTTCTCAGAGTAGCAATGAAAATGGCTTACAGTTGAGCTGAAAAAAATTTTTTCTTCAGGGAAAACAACATTCTTCGGCACACAAAAAATATCAACCCTGTTTGACAATTTCTTTAAAAAAATTTTCATTATTCACCCTGGCAGAGTTTTGCTCTCCACTCAAAAGATGAGGCGCCTTTTTTTGTTGTAGCCCAGCTTTCCCCTCAGAATTTTTGAAATCAACTTGGCATTCTTTCTAAGGGATGCCTCCAGGGCATGCAAGGCAATTCCGCCATTTTCATGAAACGACTAACTTTTGTTAGAACCCTCGTACGTTTGATCAAGCATAATGCACACAAAAATGTCTAAAAATTGTCGCAAAATTCATACACGGCTATGACGCGTATTCCTTTTTTCTCTCATATTTGAGAAAAATGGTGCGCACAGCCATCGAGTAAATAAATGTGTTATTCATGGTAATCGAGTAAATATTGGTAATCGATTATTTTTGATCAGACTCGCATGCGCTAATCATACTACGTCTTTATTGGGAACTGTTGACGCGATGTTTCATGCGCGCTATTCAAGATTGAAAAGTTGTTGTGTCCAGGTTATTTTTATTCATGTTAGCATTACATGCGCACAAACCTCAGGAGCTTGTGCGCTGACTTTATAAAAATTTTACAAGGCATGATCATGTGTTCGATGTTCAATGAGGAAATACAAAATGCGCTATCAATAGAGGAAACCTCATTTAATAAAAAATCATGGAATTTTTGTGAGTGCTCACTTTAGCAGAAAATTCATTTCCACGTTTTCTTACCGCATACCATGAATCAAACAAAAACGCATATAAGCATGAAGTGATCAAAATAACGGCATCCAGTTTCCAAAGACAACAATCGCGGCATAACAGTCACTGCGGCTGTCCAACTCATGAATTGTGCACATATCAAATCCCACAGGAATTCCTTGAACAAACCTGACGCACAATCCTGTCAGCAATTCCCAACAATCACAACTGATAGCGTGCTTCAATTAACCAACAAAAACAAAACAAAATTTCGACAGGATGAAGACCGGCGATGCTCCAATGCTGCTTTAATTTGAGCCGGAGCCGAACCAATTCGTCCCAATGGCTTCGAAGAAAAACGCAGCACTGCTCTTAGAGCCCTTCATGTCAGTCTTGAACATTGGGTCACCCGGGGGTTTGCTACCCGTTCCATTGGACTCCTGTAAAAAAATGCATTTGAGATCTAAGATGGAAGATTTACGACGAATTTCCGCCTGGTGAACATACTAGAGTAACTGTAATCGTATTTACAGTACTTAGGTACCAGATCATGCCATCAGGTAAGACATGCACCAAGGCTTTTCAGTCTAAAATTCATATAAAATCGTATCCCTGAGTAAGACGCGTACCCCATATCTGTTACTTTGAAACAATATACCAAAAACAAAAAACACACACATGAATTAAGTTCAACTAACCTTCATTTGTTTCCATTAAAAAAGCCTCTCTGTTGAACCTGGCCTAGAATTTCCATTAAAATCTAGTATAATTCACACCAAAATTTTTAAAAGTTTTAAAGAAATTGATACCTGCCTATGACGCAAACTCTTTTTTTTCAATTTGAACAAAAATGTTTCGCACGGTAATTGAATGAATACTGTACTGTAAAGTATTTGTAGTGATTTACAGAGAGATAAGAAAAATGTTCACCAACTCTGAACTAAAATAATAACTCCAAATAAAAACATATGCCACTACTCAAGTTTCCGCAGTTCGGTTGCGATTTCATCAGAAGACAGTTGAGATATGTTTTCGGAACATACGGCTTCTATTCCTGGATTAAAAAATCCACTAGATTCAATTCATTATGTTTAGAAAAGTGTAAGTATCCAAAATATATTTTTCAGTTATCGTGCTAAATTTTTTGCTCTCCAGTGTTGTCTTGTACTGTACAAGAAAATATGAGCAGGAAATGTTTGTATCACGACAGATTCGTATTCGTTCTTTTGGAGACCGCTCAGTTCAGTCATTGCGACAGCCTAATATGATGAGTAAATCCTTCCAATATTCCTCAGATTTTAAAATCACATCTTCTTAAAATGGCACTTCAGCCGCAGGAAATACAGGACAGTATTACAGGTGGACTCTCTCCACGACAAAATTCAGATGACCAGAAAAAAAATTCGATGTGCAGAGAATTTCGTTGTAGAAAACACCCATCCGATGAGTAGAGAATTTGAGGAGACCAAAAAAAAGGTGTGAAAATTGTGGAAGACAAAATCGTCGTGGATGTAATTCACCTTTCGTTTAGTACCAGTCGTAAAATAAATAAAAAATGCTATTTTAAATTGACTGCAGAGTGCAGACACAGCAGTTTCCAAAACAAGAAAGAAAGGGAAGTACATCACCACCATTATCTAACTAACGACAAACCTCAATCGATGTCGCCTTCATCTTTCCCCCTCTCACGCCTCCTCGGTGGGCGGTACTAGGATGAAGATCGGTGTTGCCAAAGTCAAATTCGTCAGCTATAAGAGGGGCATGCGGTTTTTGCACAGCCAGAGGCAGGAGAGGAAATCTCGAGTGACCGACGTTCAGTGCGAGGGCAGACGAGTTCGGATTATCACCAGTCAACTTCGGTTCCGCTGTTCCGGGGTTGACCTTCTCTTTAACCGTCAGCACACTCAAGTATGCCTTCAGTAAAAACAAGAGAAAAAGCATGGGTTGCCATCATCAGCATCATCGTACTTCACGAAGTGATGAAACATGTTTTTGCCCATAGATGGCTCAATCCGTTTCCAGAAACGCAAGGATATTCCTCGTTTTCCCAACTCAACACGAATATTCTAGGGCAGTGGTCTGCAACCCACTGAATTCTTTTGCCTGAACGCGGGAAAATTTCGTTCAGCATGTTAAATTTTTCAGAAGTATGAAACGAGTCTGTTATCTTCGTCTGCAATTTTGGAACAATAATAACAGTTGAAATTACCTGATGAAAAGAAAAGTTAGCTTTTCTCCAAATAAAACTTCAGACAAATTTTCAGCTTCTGAAAAAAATTTCAAGTTTTTATTCTGAGAAACTTTTCCTGAAAGTCAGTTCTATTCTTCAAGGCATTTCACTATAGCAGCACCACTGGTTCTCAACTTAATTTTTGCAATAGAAGTTTTGTTTGGAGGACTTCATGACAGGTATTTAAAAAATGTATGCTGGTCTGCAAAAATTTAATGGAACTTCACCGGTCCGCGGGCCAAAAGACGTTGGGGAATACTGTCCTAGGGGTTGACAACAGAAGCTCACCTCCGAACGGCTGGTATATTTTTTCAAGTTCGACATCAAATTCGGCATGGACACTTCCAGGTCGAATGGATCAACAAACTCTTCCAAATTCCCACACGTCTTGGAAACGTCTCGATTCAAGTCCTACGCAAAAAAAAAATAATAATAATCAGTGAGACTTTGCATCAGTCGGTAAATTTCTCGCGAATTCTCACCTGGTTTTTTGGTGCGACTAAAACATTGTTCGCAAAATGGATGTCAAAGATCAGTTGCAGCGCAATGGCCTGGGTCACAATCGGTGACGTGATCCGGTGACAGTAATGATCCAACACAACCCGCATCAAGTTTTCCGCCAACGTAACCTTGACTTCCCTGAAAATATGGAAGAAAAAAGAAGCACTCATTCAGGCTGATTTTGCAACATTGGGTTTGAATGAACGTCGAGATGAAGCATTGTAAAAACGCACAGCACAATAATGGGTACAGTAATGTATAAACAAGTGGGGAAGGTTCTGAACCTAAAAAACAACTCACGGTGCAATTGCATGGGCTCCCGCGGCATTGACTGTTTCAGCAGCAAATAGAATAGCATCCAGCAGAAAGTAGGAAGGACCACTCGGCAATTTGATCTGAGATTTAATCGGTAGTCCTTCCGCATTTTCTTCGTCCACCAATATTGCATCCCAAACCTGATGGAGTGCAATTGCGTTAAGAGAATCGTCAGCCTTGCAAATATAGTCGAACTGCAAGTGGCCAGCGAAAAAAATCGAGTTAGAATTAAGATACATTTTTGCTGGGGAAAAGACAGAAGAATTTAGTGAAATTGTGGTAATATTCTGGGCATTAAATTGATTCTTAAAACAATCGACAGGATGCTGAAGTTTAATGCAAGGGTTTATTTGCCCCATTTCTCTTGCATTCCCTTTAGAAGTGCATCAAATTACATTTCTAGTGCTTTTATCTTCCCTGTGTCAATAAAATAAGTCAAAAGGCTTCCAGAAAATTTGACTCACGGAGGTCTGAAGAGCAAAGCCTTCGAGTTAGGGAGGTTTTTAATGCGTTCTTTCACAGGGAATTCAGACAGAAACCTAAAAAAAATGACATCGGGAGGTATTCGGCTCAGGGAGGTTAAAGTTTTCGAGGTTTTACTGCATAAAACATCAAGCGTTTAAAAAAAAACTCCCACACGAATGTTCCGGGGGAAAAAATTAAGATCGATCCGAAAATATAAGGAAAAAAATGGAAGAAACTAACCGGTATGGTTGAAAAAATTAGATCAACCGAAATCACAGGAAAATGAGCGGTCAATTGCCTCTGGAATTCATTTGCGATTTCTTTCGTCCACTGGGAATAGGCCCAAGTTTCCGCACGTTCCCAAATCATCAAGAATTCCGCTGACACTGTAGAATTATTTAAGCTATCAACACAACTCCGGAAATTGGAGCACAGTTGAGGAATAGCGTGACAGAGTCTGGCAACGAAAACGAGCTTTGCGATCATTTTCTGGAAGTCGCCGACGTGGTTCTGCAAATCTTGCTTCACATCCGAAACGATTTGTTCGACAGACCTGCTAACATATAGCCAAAAGCACTGTGATTTGGTACCCTTAAAAATACAATCGGTGCAAACGGAACATCGAACGATGTGTAAATCGCACTCACGCGGTCATTTCAGATACAATTGAGGTTGCAAGTTTCTCGAAAATTTCATCCTTGTCTGCAGATTGGTCAAACGAAGAATTGCTTCTCTCAGGGTCCACGTAATTTCCTATATCTTCAAGGATTCTTCCGGCTTCAGCATCCATCAATCGGCATGCTTTCAAGACTCCTTCGCTGAGACCAAGAGTTTTCATCGGCAACTCTGACGAAGAACCAGAAAAATGGTTGAGAATCGAATGCATCTTCAATCGATACTTTTCAGAGGCTCTTGAATGACGGTTCATGGAAAATCTAAGGCTCAGCAATCACCTCAGTTTAATTGCACTGTTGAGAACGACTTCTTAGAAAATTTACCTCCGGAATCGAGACCAATCCTTCCCATACGAACGGGACTGATCCAACCATCGACTTCTGGTATATCAGAACCAGATTCAGACCAGATGTACGGCGACAAGTCAGTTTCTGCAATTCTGCAAAAAAGGTTCAATACGGTTAATAAGATATTCAAGTTCATTAATGCATTCGAAATCGACCTACTTCTCTTTTTCGATGCTGCGAAGGAACTCGGTGACATCGGCTACTAATCCTCGCGACAAGGCAGATATTTGAGAATCAATTATCTTGAAAGCCCGCGCAGTGAAATGAGGCAAAAATAGATCTTCCCAACGCTTGAAACGAACTTCCTCCTCAAGCAGTACTGCCAGTATCTTGTCCCAGTCTCGGCTATACTCATCCGCAGCGAGCACCGCAGATACAGCTTGTCTTATGGTGGATAAATTCTTCGCACTATCAACGTAATCTACAGGATGGAATAGGAAATAATCGACCGACTTTTAAACGGTTGCATCTCCTCAATTTTTACACACGATATTACGTAAAAAGGCCAAACAAATTTGCATGATTTTTTTTTGTTTATAGCTCGAAATAAATTAGAATGGCCATAAAATTCGTTTGAATCGAACAACCGTGGAGAAAATTTACTACGAGCTTGCCAGGGTTTAAAAGGTTCATACAGAAGTTTTACGAGAGACGCGGATCATGAAATTGTTCGCGGAAAGTAAGGATTTTTCTGAGATCGTTCACAAACGATTGTTCGTGATTTTTCTGAAAGAAAATTTCTTCAAAGCGTACATTGGATTCAAATACGCGTGGCGGTCATGCCAATGCACTTCATCCATGAGAGTAGACATAAATCCGAAGACTTCGGGATAAAGTTATATTTGATTATTGATTAGCAACATAGATTGAATCATTTAAGAGAAAATCTAGCTCGAATATCAGTCATCAGCGTCTGGTCCACTGGCTCACCCCGCACGAATTTTCAACTTGACTTATTCGCACATCACCCTCATAAAACATGATCGGAAACAGGAGAAATCGCGAAGAAATGAAAGTATCTTGAAGGAAAAAGACGAACCAAGCCATTTTGGAATGCTTGTCGACACGGAAGCCCTGCCTTTCGAAGACCAGGAAGAACATTTGCTGCACACCAAACGCTTCTCCAAAGACTCGACGGAACTGGACGGGTTAGGACGGTATGTCTTAATCTTATCAGGCAAATACTTGTCTGCAGGTGAATTGTGAATGTTCAGGTAACTTAAAAGCGGACGTCTGCATTCGTTGTTATCAGCACGAAAGCTCGCAGCTGCCCATCGAGGTAGCAAACCTGTTTCTGCATCAGTTCCCGCATGGTCCGCTATTTTAAAAATTTTCAAAAAAATATTGCGCAGGTTTCCTCGCATTGTTCAAGGATGGTTCGCGGTCGAAAATTCACTTGGAAAGCAGAAACATTGAATGACATGCTCACCAGCGCTTATGAAACAGGAATAGACAATTGTGAAAGTGTTGGAGAACAGCTGCATGAGAAGGCAAATCTGCTCCTTCGATGAAGTTTTCGTTTTGTCCAGGTTCACGAGCCGCTGCAGAACTTCACTGCGAAACTCCAGGAACAGTTCCAACATATACTCAACGTTGACGTTCTTCAGCAGCAGAACTGCTAGAAGGTCCTCAGCAGCGATCTTCAATGCATAACGAAAAAAATCTTTGAAATATCGACGCTGCATGGCAACTTCCGGAATCTCATCATTCCAGATATACGACTGATGCAACATCGAATCCGTGAGCGATTTAAAAAGTGACACTTACTTTCGGAGTCAAATATAAGTCTTCAAGTCGAATCCGACATGCTTGCAAAATCACATCCTTGAAGTGAGAAATTGCGCCCCATTGACGCGATATCACGGGAAACCATTGCATGATTTTCTCGCAAGACAAAGACATCGTTCCACTGGACGTATTGAATTTAAGACCTTCAACGAAAACGGTTCATGGCGGCAGCAAATCTCAGGTTTTCAAAATGAAATAAACTTACCATGGTACACTTGTCTCGCAAGAAGGTATAATTCAGCCGCTAGCAAATTATCTTTGCTTTCAACAGCAGACCAAATGGCTTCGGGGGCGTCCATGAGAATGCATATTTGTCCAGCCAGGGAATAATAAGCTAGCCGCTTCATTTTCCTGAAAATTTACAACCTTTTTAGTTTTTACACCAGTTTGTCCATGACCAATTTCGCTGCACGAGAAAAACGTTTCGTAACACGAATCGTTTTTAATTCGCAAGGGGAGACATTAAGCGAGGACATGAGTCGAAGAGAATGCTTGCGACTTCCAAGATTTTCCAGGAACCTTGAATAAATTTACAAGGCGGCGAATTTCTAAGAATGCCTGAAACTTGAAAATCGAAAGGGGCCACAATTGCTGAATTTTGAAAGTCTGAAAATCCACGTTGTACGCACATGAAGCCATCTGAATCATATTTAGCAATGTCTATATGTGAGAGTTTGAGTGCATTGAACCCCCAAAAACTGTCCGTTAATGCTCAGGAAAAACGGTTATCTTTTAGGCTCTTTGTGAATACGTTAATTTCCTAGTCTAGAATAAAAAATTGCTCCGAACAGAAATATCCGGTGCAATGCTGCTTGCACACTCAAATTTCCGGCGGAAGTTTTACCAGCCTCCATAGGAGGACAGGAAAAACATTACGCGAAATTTTTGGGCCATAAAATTTATTCCTCAGAACTTCAACTGATGGAAGCGGCATGTTCAAATTGGACTGCCAAAATTTGGGGAAGAAAGTCTGTTTGACTCTCCCTGATGTGTTGCTGTGCATTTTTTAGTACGCGATTTTTTACAATGTGAGCCTAGAAAATTGAAGTGTGTGTAATCTTGTGACTTTGAGTGGCATTAATATTTCAGTTCAAAATTTTCATGCAAAATTCCTCAAACTAAATTTTTCTCTGCTATGTTTGCATTAAAGCAAAATACAAGAGGCCACAAA